CCCCCGAATTTAGCGAAATTAACGACCCGACCCGACCCGACCTACCCTTAATTTGCAGAATGAAACTATTATAATTTGCCCAGCAAAAGGTACCCCTAATTTTGGGAAACTCCCACATGGCTCTTTTCTAAGGCAGCTCCTCTTCCGCCATGGCGTTGTCGGACGGAAGGCCGGCGAGCAGATGTGCAAGGTGTAGGCCAAGAGTCCCCCTTAAGTAGATAGAATATGGGGTATATGGGGATCTTATTATAATATACCCAAAGCCATATTCTATTTACTTAAGGGGGACAATGTACCATTGAAGGCATATCAAGGAGGCTGAGGGGTTCCTGCGCACGGGTCCAATAGCATGGAAGGGTGTCGATCAAGTCCAGGTACCCTACATCCTGCATGGTTGCAGAAGCCTTGCCGCTGCAACGCTGGCTATGCCAGTGGAAGAGATAATCACGGGGTTTAGGGCTTCAGCGTTTGTAGACGTGCTCATTGCTGTCCTGCCCGGCATGCAAAGCCGACCAGAATGCCCAGGTTTTGGAGATGAGGGGTGCAAACATGTCGGGATGTCGCACCGGAAGCAAGCAACGGGCTAAAGAAGATAGTATGCTGTGGCCGCTCACATCCCCGCGGTCGGTGCAGTGAATGGGTGCCATCATCCATTCTCCCATTTTTTCCTTCAGGAAGAGGAGATTTGATCCTGGCGTCCTCCGTGGCCCTGATGGGGAAGTGCTGGGAGGGGGAGACTCTTGGTTGGCAGTTGGGAATTGTGGCCTTTGGACTTCTTCTGATCATGGTCGCGTTCCACTGGGGATATACTGCTCACCACATTGCGTGCACATTTCGGCGATATCTGGGATCATAGGAGTATGCAGGTTCAAAGTCCGGGGTATGGGGTCATTGGGATGAGAAGAGTGACTGAAAACAACATGTGAGCCACCTCTTGCAATTTTCCCCTCAACCTCTGACTCACGGCGCTAAGTCTGGTAACCTGGGATGGGCCCTATTCAAGTTGCTAGTGCAAAAAAAGCATAAGCAAGGACTGGGCCTACATCTAACATACATCTTCCAAACTCCATTCAGCTTATATACCTGTACGTGTGTATCGCTGTTAACACATATCGGCAAAACCACGCTTTGGAAGTGACATGTTCTCACCTCTATCCAACTACAAGAGAAGCGCTTGGCACATCATGTTCATCATCGTCGCCATTCTTTGGATACCGCCCCTACCCGGAAACGGTCTCTACCATTCTTGGACCTTTATATACTATATATGACCGTGAGAAAACGGCGCGGCAGCATCATCAGCTCAACCCCTATACCCTGAACTGCAAGCAGTTTCCAAGCCATGTTTATTTTTATCGCCACTTTTTGCAGCTTTTGGCCCGGACAGCCTTGTTCTCGGCGAACGTTCCCGTTTCGATTTAAGCTTCCGCCTGGGCACCATGGCTGAAGAGAGGCAACCAGTGGTGAAAGTCCAATCTGGGGTTGAGGGGTTGTGCGGGATGTGTTTTGTTTGTGATGGCAAAAAACTTGAAGATGTGGCCATGCCCAGAACCAGAACCTCAGAGTCGTCATCATGAAGCCCTAAGCAGAATTCTTTTCGTGCGTGTGTCGACATGGAGGCCCAGACAGCCCAGTACTTTTGAATTACGGAGCACAGCCTAAATCTGGGGCCACAGTTGCACAAGGCCTTAGGGTTGAGGGTTTAGGGCTCCTCGTATCCTCTAGGATATTTGCCTTTTTTACGGGGTATTGAGCTCCCTGGAAAGGTCCTGGGAGTTTGAGACCTTGGCCGTGCAGAGAGATGCAGCCTCAGGCGGCTTTTTACGCACTGGCAGATGTATGTTTGCGGTCTAAAACGGTCAGGCTCTGGCAAAAACATGCCTGGGCCTAGACTCTACTGGTAGGGCCTTCACTTTATTAACTAATTCGTCGAGTCCTTGTAGTACGGCGTAGCCCAGGCATAAGATTTCCAATGATTCCCTGACCTAAGTTTAGCGCCATGTTTGAAAACTGCAAGGGGTTACGGGTTGTAGCGATATTCTGTTCTCCCAATGTAATTGACCAGTACATATATTCCCTTACGTCCTCCTCAATTCATACTAATGTTCCCCTAACATTAGGGCCCTTCGAAAATAGAAATTTTGGGACTCAATACGGCCCCCTGAGCTCCTACGGTTCTGAGGTCCCTGTGGATTGATTTAAAAGGGATTGTTGAGAATCCTTCTTATATTTTTAGGCCCCTAAAATCAAAACTAATTATAGGGGGCCTTGCAATCATTGCCCCGATCCTGCATAGGCGGGCCCCAAAACTCATTGTAGGGGACCGGTTCAATAAAGGAGGTCCAACAATAACCTCAAACCCATGGGTACAACCATGGGGGTCCAAAAGCAAACCTCCAACCCCAAACTACTTGAACAGTTTCGCCCCTCTCCTCTCTAGTAATTAATGGTTGAAACCACGGGCCCCTGGTCTGAGCCTTAACCTTGGGATCCTTTGATACCTGCCACATACCCTATATGTACCCTTAACGGCCCCTAAAAGGCTTAAGGGCCCACATGAATGGCCGATACTTCTGACCTTATAGAAGTAAGCCCCAACACCGCCCACCCTAAACCCTAAAGCCTAAACCCTAAACCCCCTCCCAAGCCTTCGAGCAGGCGTCCTTGAGATTGCGCTCAACCGTCCCAAAGCTCTCAACGCTTTCAACCGGGCCATGTGGTCACCCGAGGCAGCCGGCAGTCTTTCCCTTTTCTGCTTAGGCTTTGGGGATCCGGTGTTGGGGACTGTGTAAGGATTAGGTATATGACCGCAATAATGCAGAAACAAATGGAAAATCAAGTGGAGACTTTTCATCTAGAGGTGTATGTGGGGGAGACAAACCCAGACCACAATGAGGCAACATCCTAAACCCTAAGCCCTAGGGTTAAAGGAGTTGGAAAAAATAAACCCTAAACCCTATAATCTGTTTTGCGGTACACCTAGCCAGTGCCTGTCTTTGCAAAACTTGAGTAGATGTGCCTGAAAAGGTGACGTTGTGTTTCTTCCACCCGCCAAAATTCTTATTAGGGCTAAGTAGGGAATAGGGGAAAATACTATATGAGGATTATATTCCCTTATTCCCTACATTCACCAGTAAGAATTTGGCTCCCGCAGCCATTTCATACAAGATGCATAGGAATAGCCCCAAACCTCTCTCTAGGATGCTAGAGGCATCCCCACTTTTTGAAAAACCCGCCACATGAACCCCGCCGAAGCCATAACCCCTATAAATTTACTGGGAGTTAGTCGGGACTAAGGGCATTTATATTATGCAGGGAGTATATCCCCTACTGAGCACCAGTAGGAGAAGTCCTAGCCCTTGTCTACATCTGAGGTTAGATCTGCGCCGATGCCTAGAGACGGCATCAGATGATCCGGAACTTTGGCACTTGAAACCTGCAATTCCCCATATCAGTCTTCAGCATAGCGGAGAATCAAGCATATAGTCCCCCTTCAGTAGATACAACATGGCTTTGGGTATGTTATAAGAAGATCTCCATATACCCTGTATTCTATCTACTTAAGGAGGACTATAACATGTTTTTGAACACATGATTCGGTAGTTAAAGAATCACTAAAGGGGCTTTGAAATGCCACTTTACAGGGTTGCTGTTAAGGACATGAGATTAAGGTACCATAATGTGGGTATGTGCTAAATAGTAGGGTTTCCATATCATAGTAACCTAATTTAAGTTCCTTAGCAGCAACCGCCTTTATCCCCAACTTTGCGAGCAATTTAGGATACTCGGTGCGTTCTCCTCCACGGTGGGGAATCGCGACTGTTCACCGCGGGGCTCGATTTGAAGAGCAACTTTGATCACATGTCTTGCTGGGGTCCAGTAGGCAACGAGGGCACACAATCCCTATAATATAGGGACTAAGGACTAAAGAACTATGTGATATAGCATATAGAGGTTATATTATAACCTCTTGATACTATATCACATATTTCTTTAGTCCTTAGCAACCGCAAACGAGTTTGGGGAACTAGATGGTTACGGTTTGGGAGGTGGGTGAGGTTGCCAGTGGACCACATGTTTTAATACTAATGCTAAAATAGTAATACTAAAGCAGCAGTGATCAAATAGTGGCAGTCATGATCGTGATCGGTGTACATATATCTACACATGCGCAGGTATACAGGGAATAACAAGAGAAAGAAAACTTAATGATATGTGAAAATTATAATCAATAATGATAACTGCACACATATTCGTAAGGAGATTATAAGGCCCTAAACCCAGAAATCCTAGACCCTAAAACCCTCTAAACCTAAAACCCTTAACACACCAAAACCCCCAAAAACCTAGAACCCTAAAACCGTTAAACCTATACACCCTAAACCCTGAAACCCTCAAACTCTAAAACCCTGAACCCTCAAACTCTAAAACCCTGAGCCCTAAAACCCCTAACAATCCCAAACCCCAAAACCCTAACACCAACACCCTTCGTAGAACCAAGGTGAGCTCGGTGGCTTCCCGACAGGTGACGCCAAGCTCGACGTCAGCCGCAAGGCCCCCAAAGAATCGAGAAATCCGACCGTCCCCGTTCTGCCCTAATGTAGACCCATGATTAATAAACGCCCTTCTTTCTAAGGGTCTTAATATTAGGATCCTTACTATAATCCCTATGAGGGGGAGGGGGTTTATTAATCAGGGGTCTGGGTTCAACCAATCAGGATTTAGGGTCTGGAGGGTTTAGTGGGTAGTGGGTTTAGGGTTTACGGTTTAGATGGTTTAGAGTTTAGAGGGTTTAGGGTTTAGGGATTAATTCCTCTCCATGGGGTATTGGACCTCCGCACTCCCTCGTATCGAATATTCCCCATATTATAACGTATAGCAGTGGGGATATTTAAGATTAGGGAGGGGACTGTCCGTCGCAGGTGGCCCTATTAACCGGAGTGGAGGGGTAATGGGTTTTGCAGGTGAGATGTAGGTTTTACAATTGACTGTTTCCAAAGACAAGAAAGTCAATACATGCAAGGAAACGTTTGGGGTGTGCAGGCCATATGAAGCATTATATGGGAGTTGCTTGGGAAGTAAGCTCTGGCAGTACCTGCAAACCTAGAATACTCCCGAACCTTCGTGAAGTGCCAGCTGCCAGGCTTTTCGGATGGAGCCCATCATTAAGCGCTGTCAGGATTCTTGGCTTCTACGTGAGAATCATTCGATATATATAGGGATATATAACCCCACCAGTGGAACATGACATGGAAAATGACATGGAAGCTGGGGATATAGTGGTGTAACTGGGAAGCAATTATGTTTTTGGACTGCGGCAATGGGACGCCGGAGTCTGCCAATAGTTCAACTTGTAGTCCGGCTGAGGGTTTTGGCGTTTAGCCGTGTAGAGTCATAGAACCTTACATCACCATTTAACCCCAGATTCCACTGCATTTCCAATTTTCTTCTCCAAAAGATTCCAAAAGAATATTCATTCATGATTGGGGGTTAACATGCCTAAACCCATCTCAACCCCTTATAATCCCAGGGTAACCCTAAATCATAAGCTTAAATCCTAAGCTCTAAGCCCAAAACTACCCTATAGTATCCCTCTACGGACCCTAAACCCTTAACCCTAAACCCTAGAGGATGGTATCTCCAGCTGCGAAAAGTGCCGAAAGCCCGTGATCGTGGCCCTGCATAACGGCGTGATCGGAGCTGGTGTTGAAACCTGCCTCTGTTGAAAGGTAGGGTTTAGAGTTTAGGGGTTTAGGGTTTAGGGTTTAGTTGACTGGGTGAATAAGAATGAGAGAGGGCTTATGTGGGATGAGGGGGTGTATAGGGGTGATGTAGGTTTCTATGGGTCTAGGGTTTATAGGGTTCCGGGTTTTAGGGTTCAGGGCTCAGGGTGAAATCTGAAAGCCGTCAACGCTACGTCGGTATCTTCTGATAAAGGAGGATCAAACCGACAAGACAATGGCAGACAACATCTAGTTGTGCTTGAGACAGTTGAAACACTGAAAGATGATAACTGATAACGCTACAGTAGTTCAACAAGAGCAAAAGCAGCAGCAGGAGGTGGAGGTGGAGGTTGTGGAATCTGTGGTGGTGATTGTGATGGTGGTGGTGGCGGCGGGAGGGTGGCTGTGGCGGTGGCGGCAGCAGCAGCAGCAGTAGTAGCTTTCACTCCTTCTACCACCGCTACCACCACTAGGATTAAAAAGTACTGTCACCGCTGCTACTACTGCTACTGCTACCGCTACCGCTTCTGTTACTACTGCTACTGCTGCTAGTAGTAATTACTACTAATGAAATGCGATGTCGGGTGGCACGGTCGACATTCATGGGCCGAGGGTGTTCGGGGATGTTTGGCGTTATGCCTAGCCTATTTTCATCAATAGTTTTACGACTCACTAAGCCAAGCAGAGGATTTTTTTTTGCCCTCCCAGACGTCTTGCTCGGAAGAGGTGCTGGCTTGGGCTTGGAGACCTGAAGCTTGAAACCCTATGCTCAACCTTTCATCTGAAACCCCTGGAGTCCTTAATTGCTGGGAAACCAGTCTGCTAGTAAGGGATCCTTTGTACATGGACCTGCATCAGTAGAAGATATGGACCCAAAGGTCTAACCTTCTCCATTGTAAGGATTTGGCCAGTGCCTGTGACATCCGATACTGCTCGGAGGATGCTTGGTTCTCCATCGCAGAGGTCGGGTCTCTACCAAAATTGGGCGGGGTTGGATTCGATTCCCTTCCTTTGAAGCAGTTCTGAGGGGGATACTTGGTTCTGGTGCTTCCATTTTCTTAAGGGGGGGTTAGAGGTCAACACTGGTTGCTGAAGATCTCGCAGACATCGTCCTTGCTCAGCTTGCTTCATTTTGTAGAAGGTCACTGCAATAAGCAATGTATGTTGAATCCATGGCATGGGAAACCGCTGTAAACGGCTTTTAGCTCCTCAGAGAGTCCAACTCGATATATGAACGTAAGCATATATGAGAGGTGTATATATGCATATCTATCTCTCTTTCTCTTTACGCATGTAGAAGCATGCTCCACGCATCCGCTTCACCACCCAATGTCCCCAGGTCAACGTAGGCTTGGCTGCGGACGTGGGAACCCTGCAGAGACTGCCCAAGATCGTCGGCAACGACTCCGTGGTCCGCGAAACTTTGTGCTAAGCCAGACTCAGTTTCTTCTACGGGCCCAGGTACCCCATAACTAGGTCCCTGTAAAGGGATACATAGCCCAATAAGTAGGTTTCTTTAAAGGGATGCATAGGGAAAGATAGGGCTGTTGAGGGGTTAGGGGACCCTGCAGGGATCAGGCCTCTTCAACACATCCTTGTGCTACCCAAGACTTACGCAAGTTGCTTCAGACCTTTCCTAGACCCTAAACCCACATGCCAGTGGTGGAGTCATGAGGAATTGGCTTTCACGGGACGGCGTATGACAGCTGCAGAAGCCAAGGAGTTGGGATGGCTTGGGGGCTTTGGCCCTCTAAAACTATTCCAACTAAAAGAGATGAGCTATAGTCTAAACTCCTTAAGTGGGGTTATATAGGGGATTGTATAGTGGAGTACTATAGGGGTTATGAGGGGGGATACTAAGAGTTTAGACTATGGCTCATTGCTCCCATCTTACTATCTGTATTCACTCTCCTTCAAGTACAAGTAAGACGCTGAGTGCAAAAGGTTTGCCTTCGCCCAGACTACCTGGGTTTGGTATTGCCAGGAAAGCCGAACAAAGGGTTTCTACTGTAGAGTGAAGTAGACGTCCTTGATGTGTAATTTTGGGCTTCAGCCTTAAAAGGCCCCAGCTCAAAATGGGGGTTTGCCAAAATCAGGCGTACATGTCTGGGGGCCCCCATAACAAGGACTATAGCATTTTGGGGCCTATATTGGGGTCCCCCTATTTTGGGAAACTGCCAAAAGGCCTGTTTGATGTCATACATCTGCGAGGTCTATGAGCAAACCTTGGAGTTTTGATCATATTCTTATTTGCCCATCCTTGTCAACAGCATTGCCTCCCCTTGAGCAAGCCTAGCTTGTAAGGAACGGTGGCGTTGGGCGTGTTTCAAAGTTCGTGATCCCATATCCTCGTTTCGAGTTTGAGCAGGAATCGAGCGGGGTACTCTAATATCAGCAATTAACGCTCATGTCGCCTGTGTTATCATTGGCAGGGGCTCCAGAAAACGACTTCTAATCTTTTCATACCCCCACATCTCGCAACTTTCATCCTTTCCTAGATCCCTGGGAGGATCTAGAAAGTAGATCCCCCGTTGAGGCTTCCTAGAAAGTACACAGTAGCAATATGGCGATTCATGTTCTACTTTCTAGATATTTATTCCAGGGGTTGTGCCCCCAATCCCTGAAGCCTAAGCCTTAAACCCTATCCAGAAAACCCATTGAGTAGTATTTTAATTGGGGATACTATGGTACCCAATATAGAGTAAGATTATATCCTCCTTTTGTGTAGTATTTAATATGAGAATATTATCTTACTAGGTTCAACCACCCAAAAAAAAACATTACTTAATATAACCCCAATATATACCCTATTATAATATAGTAGTTTCCATTTTCTTTTCCATTGTCCCTATATTACTAGGTTCTATAACCCCTAGAATCCCCTATATAATCCTAGTTTCCATCGTCTTTTCCCTTTGATTCTCCATTATTAAGGGTTCAACCACAACCCTAAACCCTAAACCCCTAAACCCTAAACTCTCAGGTGCTAGGTTCAACCACCAAAAAAATACTCAATTAAAGGAGCTTGGCCTTGTGGGCAAGGTGCTGCCAACACGCGAGGCTTGCCTTGCTGAAGCCAGAGACTAGGCTTTTGCTGCACGCATTTGGTTTAGGGTTTTAGGGTTTTCGGGTTTGGGGTTTAGGGAATCTAAGGTTAGAAGTATGGGCCGCTAATATGGGCTTAACTTCGGCCGTTTAGGGGGATTCTATGTGCCCTTAAGGGTACATATAGGGTATATAGTAGGCATATAAGGATCCTAGGGTTAAGGGCCCATACTGGGGGCTCATGGTTTCAGCCTTAGACATCAGTTGTGGGCACGAGCTGCTGAGGAAAGGTCGCGCACGAAATCGCATCCAAGTCGCCTGTGGCTGTAGTTGGCACCAAGGTGGGTGTTTCGCAAAAGTTCCCCTACTACCAGCCCCGAGACGTGGGGACTCCCATCATCCACTTGCAATCCGCAAGCCCCAAATCCCAAAGATCTTTGCCTGTTTTTCCACACCCGCTGTTGGGAAGGGCCACCTGATGATTGGTAATCATGGATACTACATAGTCATTCTAGTAGTCCCCTATAGATACTATCGTTTCAAAAGAACGTAATTTTACTTGACTCTGCACCACAATTTCTATAGATCCCTATAACCCGCTTGAACGGACTTAGGGTATCCTCCTTATGAGCCAGTGTCACAGGTGAGCTTGAACTACAGCAGGGATCACACTGTCCAGGAAGGTTTGGACCAGATCGCCCAGTGGAACTCCATCCACCTCATGTCAGAAGATCTCATGAAGGCCGGGTTTAGGGTTCAGGGTTTAGGGTTTAGGGTTCAGGGTTTAGGGTTTAGGGGTCGTCGATCACCCTAGGCTCCCAGGGATCTATAGAAATTCCATGGAGGTTTTCATGGGCTTTCATTATGTAGGCACTGGGTTTGGTGAAGCATCCCCATGAAGGCTGCCCAAGCCTCCATGATGAAGACGAAGGCGGAGTTCTCCAAGCTCTAGTCGCTGTGGCCATGTGGGTAGTTCCCAAAATTAGGGTCCCATTTTGGTACCCCTAAATATTATGTGCCGTCATATAAGCTATAACCAAAAGGGGCCCATAATTTTGAGAGCAACCATGTACTACCTTTGAAGCAGGCTGGCTTAGGAACATGCTGGTGCCCTGTGGTTGACAGCGCCAGAAAAAAGCTCCTGCACTTCTTGGGATTCTCAGCCAAAGGAGGCTGGCACGTCAGAGTAATGACATCTGCCACCGGCGCTTATAAGCACTTGTCAAATCCTAAGGTCAGGCAAAAGATGCGGGGGGACCACAGCAGGGATGATAATTCTGGCATGATCCGGGCATCTTTGGGATAATGGGGTAATGGAGAATCAAATGGAAAATCAAATGGCAATTATATTATAGTATATTATAGTATACTTGGCTAGAAATATTGAAATCATGTTCAGTACCACGTGTTTATCATTTTTGTTGTTAGTATTATTACTAGTACTAGTAGTATTAACTGCTGGAATAGCACCCGCAGATACCCCAATTTGTCTCCTCAGAAATAGACCATGTTGAGTGGCAGGGGCGTAGCCCAAGAATTTGTTTCTAGTAGAATCCGACCTTTCTTACACATTGAAAGGACTCTACTGGGGACCCCAAACAGAGAACCCCAAAAACTTGGTAGGAATGTGACAGGAATTGTGCGTCTGCACTCCGCGTTCCCAGTCTATGATTAACCTAACCCTGCCCTGTGTTCCTGTGGTCCGGGTGTGGTGCTTCTTTTAGAGGGTTGATTTGGGCTTTACAGGTTTGATCTGGGATTTTTGAAGGTTTATATTGTTCATGGACCACCCGGGTTCTATAAGGTTTCAAGACGGCTTGCAGAGGGTTCATGCTTGTTATCGCAGGTTTTTATCATGGCTCAAAAGATATTCTGGAGGCTTTTGGAAGGTTCGATAATATCTGATACACGGCTTGCAGAGAAAGAGGTAGCAGGATTCAAGAGTTTTCTGGAAGGTTCGTAGAGAGTTTTTGAAGGCTTTATAGAGTTTATTGGGTACTTATAGATGTGCCCCCCCTTGTGACCCTGTGGTCCGGGTCCTGTGGTGAAGGTTTGGGAACGGGAGGAGGGGACCCGTCAATGCTGCCGGTTTTTTCTACCAAAATCCTCTTATTCCGAGTTTATTCCAGGGATATTCTTGACGGTCCCATTTTGGGTTGTTGAACCCTAATCCCTAAACCCCAAAACCCACAGTTCTTTATGTAATAAGCCCAGGACGCTCCCGAGCCGGAGGGAGCCAAAGAATTGTACGAGTGGATGGAGGCCAAGGGCTGCAAAGGCTGGGGGCCCAGCCCGCTTGGGGTCAGGGGGATTTGGTAAGTATACTTAAGACCCTTCTAAGCTACAATAGAGTAACCCAGTTACCCCTATTTAATGGCCTATTAGCTAAGTCCCATGACCCTGCAAGTGGGGTTTGCGGGTAATTGGGATTTGAAGGTTTTGAGGGCTTGAGGCTTCAGGTCTAGGAGGTTCCGTGTAGAGCCCCGGGCTAGCTTACGGATTTCAACTTTGTGACTTGTGCCTGCCAGAATGAGGGTTGTTCTGCGCTTGTTTGGGTCGATGGCCATTTCCTTGTTTGACCTTTCGCCTGAGCTTGTACTGGTGCGCACGGTTTCGAGGAGCTGAAGCTTCAAGCTTGTATTCCAGAGCACACGCACGATTTTCTCGCCACAGCCTCTAGATAAGCCACTAATGGGAGAGCCCTGCACTCCCTGCACTCCGGACAAGCTGCCAGTTTCCCTAAGGACGCGGCGACTTAGGGAGCCTGACCGCCAAGGGTTTGTCCAGAGGTCTGTAGATTCGTAGACCAAAATCTGGCTGTCTGGAATGCAGATTTCTTTCGAAGCACCAAACCACATTCAGGACGTCTACGCCAAAATCCGACCGCGTCTTGTCAAATTCCCGAATGGGTGCCTGGCAAAATGTGTGGGGCCTCGTTGTGGATGCACTGAAATGTTCCACACAGAGCCTCACCTGATTTCGCGCAACTCGAAAGACCTCAACCCTGAAACACTCGACTCGCAAAATACATCCAGGGTGCCGATGTCGTAAGTTTCGTGAGTACACTAATAAGAAGCCAAGGACGACGAAAGTTATCACTGGAAGGATCTTCAATGTCCGGGTAGACCCTCAGGCCTTAGATTCTTAACAGAGAAAAAGCCCTTGTAGAATCAGGCCTCGAAGATGTACAGCTCCTGCTGGGCGGAGGGGTTGCACTCCGAAAGCTGCGGCCTTAGGAGGATAGGAGGACTATTCGGAGCAGAGGGTGCAGTATGCAGCAGTACGAGGTTCATCGGGTTGTGCTAGGGTGTTAGGGCCATTCAAGTTTCACAAGGGTTGTATCAAGTGATTACGAGAATAAAGGGGTCTGAGGTTCCGGGGGATTGCATGAATCGTTGCAGGATCGCTTGTTGATAAGGTTGCGAGCTGTTTGGCGTGTGGGCCTGAGGTTACACATTCATGGCTTCATTTGCAAGATTTGAAGGGTCGAGCACTTGATGCTTGAGGTCTTCAGCTATACTTGATTCAGCGTTAAAGGTTTGCCCCTGCCCGAGCGATGCCAAAGAAAAGGTACGGCATGATGGTTTCCCCAAATTAGGGACCTTTCCCTGAAGATCCTTCTCATCGGCATTAGCGAAGTATTTCTGGGTTTGTAGGGGGCCTGGCTTGTTCCGGAGATCGCAAAACAGAGCATCATGTCTTTCAGCTCACATTACGGAAGGTCGGAAGGCCCTGCCTCCACAGTTCAATAATTTACCTGTTGCATATCCATACCCTTATTCCAACCACGCTGAAAACCCTGAAGTTCAAAATTAGCTTTCGGTTGAACCCCTCCGGGCCCAATGAGGAAGAGCCAGTGTGGCAGCGCCAAGAATGGTCAGGCTACGAACTTTGCTCCACAGGGTTCCCTGAGGGTCCAGGCAGTCTAATACAATATTGTAGAATGTTGTTTGAAAGCTCTACCATATAATATTGGTCCAACTATCGCAAGATACTACCTACAATTTAGTATCCTGGGATACTTGGACCATTTATTCAGGAGCGAGAGAGCCGTCGCTACTGACGTGCTATGCTCCATGCGGACTTTTGTGGGGAAAGCCTCAACTGAAATCATTTGCCTTGGCGCATGTGTGTTTGGAGGTAGTTGCTGAATGGAAGGACTGTGCCACCATGTGCCGGAGGGTGGTCTCTTCAGCAGTGTGTTAGTTGCGTGTAAGGATATGTAAGGACAAATTTACGACCCGATGGTGATATAATCAAGGGGTGTCCAGGTGTCACCAGAAACTCGTGGGCGTGATTGTTTCAAAGCAAGCGATTTCCGATGAACACAGAGTTACAACTCGTATAAAACCAGCAAGGTCATCCGCGCAAATGCCACTGGGAAGCTATTCTTGCATCCGGACGTTGGATATGTTGACTTGTTGAAGTAGGACGGAAACCTTTGCAGGTCCAGGTAGTGTCAGGCAGCTACCTATGTAGAGACTCCGCCGCTAAGCCCCATGCAAATCAAGTCCCAGAATCCTTGCGCCCTGAACCCTACGCAGTCCCCACGCCCGAAACCCTAAGCCCGCAATCCTAAGCCGGAACCTATATGGCCCAGTCCAGGAAATACACCCTAATCCGATCAGGAGGAAGAATTCCCGGCCCACACACCTCCCCAAGCCAGATCCTTGTACAACTTAAAGCCTAAACCTTACCTTCTAGCCCCCTCGTCCCCCTCAAGTCCTAATTCCCGCTGTATGCATTGCCCCATGCAAAATCCCATGTAACCTTGAACCTCAACCACTAAATCCTGATTCCCATGTGACTTAAGACTTAAGCATGCTTATAACAATCCCTTTCCCAACCTACATACTAAGCCACAGGGTTCATGTAATGATACAGTCCTTACATAGTGTATGGTAGGTTGTCTAAGTTGTGGGGTGCCCATAGAAGGTTCATAATCATGATAACTTCCTCACTTATTTTGGCCAAAGTAGGTATACAGTATACAAGAGCACCCTTGAGCCTATACCACATGTCTACATGGAGCCTTTGAGTAAACCCACTTGACAAATCCAAGTATTCGATGCTAGACAGGAGCTCCTGACAATCCCCAGGGAAGCGTGGCTCATCCCAGACAAGGCATCGGGGATTAGGGTTTAGGAGTTAGGGGTTTGGGGTTGGGTTTAGGGGGTTTAGGAGTTAGGAGCTTGGGGTGTAAGAGTTCGGAGCACAGGGTCTTTGGGATGGGGTCCAGGGATCGGGTTTAGGAGAGTTGTGGGAGTAAGGCTTATAGGTCTTTAGGGATACCCGAGTTCTCTGGAGCAGAAGTCGGTTAACCAAGTGCAGGAAGATACATGTACCAAACGTTGCCATAAAAGTGGAGAACAAGATGCGCAAATTTCCCCAATTGGTTGTGCCACCAGGTCAGTGGCTCGTTTTGAAGTCCTTTTTTTGGAGGGATGCTTTACGCGTGTGAATACATCAGGGGGCCACAATCATTGCGCGCCTTGCAGAAAGGTTCTAATGCCCATGTGTTCTCCATTGCAAGAGTTGAGCCATGATTTGCTCTAAGGAAACGGAGCCCCTTGCCCATACCTTGTTCTCAGGTAGTCCCCGGCCAGAGAACGCATGCAAAAACATATGTGTAATTCCGTATGTGCACCTTTTTGACATCGACAAGTAGATATGTAGACAAATGCATGCTTCTGTTTCGTATGCCATACTCCAGGTGGGGAAACCAAGGCATGAAGAAAGTAGCATACTCGGGCACTAGGGCTATAGGGTTTTGGCTTATGGCTTCAGCCAAAAAACTGTTAACGCCTGCTATGG